ATGGGTGCTCAGCACCTTGGAAAATCTGCTGTTAACGAAGAAATCTTCCCACTGGTAGGCAAAAGCATTGAATGCATGTTCTGTTTAGTGATGTACTCAACTGACTTGGACAAATCAAAGTGAATAAAATTGAAGTGAAAATACCCTTTAGCCTAGTGGAGTCTATAAGAGAACTAAATTTATTGTCCTTTCTCTTCTGGTTTTATCCATTCACCAACAATCTATTCAGAGAGAGAGGAGGACACTGACAAATAGTTTTAGAGAGGATGGAAGGGAGAGGATCTTCATATGTCACTCAAATTCCAGTCCAAATTGTCTGCTTGGTTTTTATTAAGTGGGAAAAAAGACTTACTTGGATGATGTGAAGCACTACCTTTAAAGCAGAATCTTTTGATTATATTTAGTTTACTGAAATCCATCATGTCTATGAATATGCCTGGGAGAACTTTCCCTCTTGCTCAAGTAAATAACCTGTTAACAATGCATGCTGCTCTTTGCCCATGTAGTACCTTGACTCAGATGCAAAATAGGAACCTAACTATGAAAAATGGAGATGGATCCCAAAATCCACATCTGGTTTATGCACCTGATCAGGCAGGGCTGAGTCCTGCCAGCAGTGCCATGTGGAAAGGCAATCCTCCAAACACGTATTGCAGCTCAGCAGCTCAGTGTGTTGGACATCCCTGGGCTTCAGCAACCTTTTCCCCTCTTATCCTTTCAGTCCTGTGAGCTGCCAGAAGCACCTGACTTCTGCAGATGGACAGCAGAAAAAACAAGGCAAAGTGGAAAAAAAAAAACACAGGAAAAATGCTGATGTCCATAAAGAGGAGGGGTAAATCTACATAATAAAGTAGCAGTTTAAAATTAGGAAATTAGGAAAAAAAAATAGAAATTACTTGGAAAGATTTAATCATAATTCTTTTTAAAATCTGAAGCAATTACATAAAGCCAGAGTGACCAGGGAGGTTGACAAAGGATTTGATGAATGTGCAGCTCAGCTCAGCATTACAGGGCAGCTCTGAGGCTGGGCTTTGCTAGCCATGAATAGCAATGAAACGCTCTCATATTCCATGGGTTGCTCAAGATAAGCAAACACAGTGCATTGCCCAGTCCTGTTCAAGCTCCCAGGCCTCCTTTATTGGCCATTACCTGGGGATCTTGGCAGACAGACAGACAGACAGACAGCAGTGCTGGCAGTGAGAGGGCATGGCAGGCTCTGGGATTTGAGTGTTCCTGCAGATCTCACAGAGATGAGCTTGGGCTGAGCCTCTGAATAGCCCATTGCTCTCTGCTGTCTTTTATAGGGCAGGACAGGCTGTGAAATCTCTCAGGTATGCAATGTTTAATTAAAAGGCTCTTCATTCTGCATTTTTGCAAAGAGAACAGCTCTGGCCTGGATTTTCTCTTTCCATCTGTGACTCAGAGCCTACTTTCTTACTTGTAGGTGTGAAAATATTTTGGAAATTAGGTAGCTGTGTGGTCTGTCCAGATACTCAATATTTCCTGTTCCTAACACATGCAGGGATGTGATTTCCACACATATGGGTACCAAGAGTGCTAGGAAATCACCTCCATGGGTGAGATGGGAGGTATAGAAGATGAAGTTCCAGCAGTTGGTTTCATACCAATATACTCCATAACCTTGGAATGGCACTTGACTTCATCTGGAAACTGAGGGTAGAGAAATCAACTCTTGTTGAAGCAGTAATATCTTAAATATTTACATTTCTTGAGTGCAGAGGACTTAAACAGAACACCCATCACAAGGTGGTTTCAGATTTCATGGAAGTTCAGAATCTGTGATTTCACATTATTAGGTTGATAGAGAGTAATGGAATTTCATCGTGCATTTTGACCCCAGCTGTTGTATCTCAATCAGAGATCCCCCCTTGTGCCATTCAGATGCAAAACACCAAGTTAGGTGGTAATAAATGTGAGCCACACAAATGGGAAAACACAGAAATTCCTCAGGTGTAGAATGTCAGGAGTAGTTTGGTGATAGTTTGTGTGAGAACAGCTCCAGAGCTGGGAATGGATTGTTCTTCATGCAAAGAAGAAAATGAGGTCCCAGGTTAGCATTTGCAGGACTCAAGTATTGGATTAGCACAATCACAAATATGATTAAGGGCTAAAAACCAGTGTGCCTGTTGAATATTTTCTTCACATCATCTCTCTAACCATTATTTGGGATACACTTTAGCAGTCCAATTTTAAGATGTCTTGCAAAGTAGCAGGCTAAATTCCCTTTATATTCAAAACAGGCTCCTCTGGAACGTTATTAATCTCGCCCAGTTTCAGTGTCTACATTATTATGAGAAGCATCTGACTATAAAAGTGCCAACCTCTGCCTCTCTCTGCTGAGAATGAAAGTTTGAGGCAATTACTGTGCATGTGGGGGGTCCATTGCAGGTATTTGACATTAAGGGAGAAGAAATCCTTCTCTTCTTTCAGCTTTTTCATTACACAATCTCAATCTACCCTACAAAGTAAAATACTTGAAAAATGAGCACCTCAGGAGGATCTGTAGGAGGGACGTGAAACCTCCAGGATGGTTTTGAGTGTGATGGTTAAACAGTCTTGATTTGTATCAACATAAATATGCCATTAATTGAGGATTTGAGGGTTTGGTGACCAAAGAATTCCCACCAAGAGAGATAAAAGTAGCTTGGAAAAATCCCAGTCTTTCCTTGTTTGTCAAAGACCTTTCCAGAATCAGACAGTAGTGAATGACAGAGTTTGATTCTTGCAAAGGAAACCCATTTACAGATTTTTGCTTCAGAAGGCATGCAGGCAGCTTTCCCTCTTTGCAGGGCAGGTCTGGAAATCAGACCCAAACATAATAAATTTGTTCAAGCCATGGGAGTCAAGCAAACATTTAGTGACACCTGTACCTGTTGTCTGGAGTTTTGAAATCCTTTGTTTCAGAGTTTAGAGGAAGAAGGAGAGCTTTATGCCCAAGGGTTTCTGTGTCCAGGCATGGAGTCACCAGTCTAATGATGGCATGTCCATCCTTCTGTATTTTCTTCTGCTGCTGAGCAGAGATAACATGATGGAAAAAACAAAGCAGATTCAACTTTTCTGCATTTTCCCTGCTTTGTCTGATTTGCAAGAGTTTTTCCACTGCACACTCACTGGTTTTTAAAGGACTTAATCTCATAAATATAATCTCATACTAATAATGGAAGTGGCTTATCCAGATCTGGTAGGTCACACTAGCTCAATGGAGGTGCACAAGTGTGGCCTTAAACCCATAGGAATTGAGAGTCTGAACCATGCCCAGTATCTTCTGCTGGCCTAAAAGAACATTTATGGCAACAGGCAAAATATGAGGTAATATTGAAATCACAAAAGAACAATTGTCTTCTGACCAACAGCAAAAGAAAAGTGAGAAAAGATCAGTGTTCAAATCCTCCTACCTCTGTGGGTCTCAGCAAACCACCATTCCCTTCAAGATCCATGTGAGAGCTCTGCAAAATTTTCAAAGCACATTTCAAGGGGAAACACACAAAGGAGTGAACCAGGGGCTCTTTCTAATACTGCTTTGAGGAACGATTTCCACCCTTATGTAAGTCTGCTACCTCTTTGGATGAGTTTCTCTGTAAATTCATAGCAAACTCAGACTACCTTGGTCAGAAATGAGTGTTTGCACTGAAGCTTTTTACTTTCCTTTTGGGATGTAGCTTCTGTGGAAAGCACATTGATGTTTTAAAGCCTTTTGAAATGCTTGAACATTTCCTGCAGTTCACTGCTTTTGCACCATCTGGCACCTGAAATCTTCTCATCACCAAAGAGGTTTTAGAAGGCATAATGCAGCCACATTTGTCATTCAAACTAGATGTGATGGGGTCAGTCTTGGGAAACAGGATTAAAATCTTTGTGTAACCTTCAGATTCTTGCAGCCCCTGGTGTGTTTTTAGTTCTTCAGGCCATGCCAGCCAGTATTTAATTGCTGCCAGGAATCCTGGTGGTGTAGCCTGTGGGAGACCATTTAGCTGCTATTGGTGATGGTGTCTCTCAACATTTCCACATTGTGAAATGAATTAACAGTCTGCAGGCCTTAGAATAAGTATTTGGTCAAATTTTGTGTTGTTAGGCTCTGGCACAGCTTCACAGAGGTGCTAATTAATCTCATCAATATAATCTCATACTAATAATGGCTTATCCAGATCTGCTAGGTCACACTGGCTCTATGGAGGTGCACAAGTGTGGCCTAAAACCCATAGGAATTGAGAGTCTGAACCATGTAGAGTATCTTCTATGGCCTAAAAGAACATTTACGGTAACTGGCAAAATATGAGGTCAAATTTTGTATTGTTAGGTGTCACTATAGGACACGAAATAACACAACGTGCACATACTGCTGTTTTCAAGACAAAAAAAGGAAGTTTATTTTCTGACTCTAACATTTATAGATTTCTAAAAGTGACAGTGGATTGGAGGGTGAAAGTGCCACCTCTCCAATGACACTGGACTGACTAACAGTCTATCAAATTTCTCTTCTTCCATAAAAGAATGCAAAACAATAAGTTATTTACAGAAAGTGTGTAAGAATGTAAACATCAGAAGGCTTAGAAAATCTTAAAAAATCAGGGCAACAGTTAGGCTAGCTAAGAGTAGAATAAGAAAGAATGATAACAAAGGCTTGTGGCTTAGACAGAGAGTCCAAGCCAGCTCACTGTGACTGGCCATTAATTAGAAACAACCACATGAGACCAATCACAGATCACAGGATGGCTGTAGCACGCTGGGGTTGCAGGATGGCTGTGACACCCTGTGCTTCTCTCATTGCTTTCAGGGCGGAGCTGGCGCTGACGCGGATCAAGGAGGTTCGCAAGCGGATCAGTTTCTATATTCTTCATTATAAACCCAGCTAACCAAACACTGTGTTGACAAGCAATCAATTATTAGTTAACTACTAACTCTTAACTTCATCAAAACCTACCTATTTATTTTAATTAACTTCAATAAAGCATAATTATCTCTGCTCTCGTTGCTTCCAGGGCGGAGCCGGCGCTGACGCGCATCAAGGAGGATCGCAAGCGCATCATCCTGCCCGCCATCGACAACATCAAGTACAACACCTTCGAGGTGCAGCAGTACGCCAACGCCGCCCACGGCTACAACTGGGGGCTCTGGTGCATGTACATCATCCCACCACAGGACTGGCTTGATAAAGGGGATGAGTCAGCTCCCATCAGGTAAATCTCCTTGTGCTGTCACTTTGGGCAGAGCGGTGTTTCCATCTCGGCTGTCTGAACGAGGGTCACCACATTTCTCTTCACTGAGAAAAGGAAGGCACAGTTCTTCCCAAGAATATTTCTGGGTTTCACATTCTCTGAGCCTCAGAGAGAGAAAAAACAATTCTTATTTGTTGTGCCAAAGTAGAATGCAATGTGGAGATTGTTACCCAGAGTGATGGTGGTTTGTTCCCTTGGCCCATCAGGTGTGTGTGTCGGGACTGTTGGCTGACAATGACGAGACTCTGAGCAGTGGTGTGCAGCTGGGTGCTGGGCATATTCAGTTTAGATGTAATGTAATATAGTATAGAATAATATGGTATAATAAAGTAATTAATTATCCTTCTGATAAGAAGGAGTCAGATGCATTCATCTCTCCCCATCGTTGGGGGCTAAAATATCCACTATAAACAAACCTACAGGCTTTGTGCAGGAATAACTAAATGAGTCTAATGGCTCCACAAAAGCTGTGGATGAGTGTGCTGCCTTTCAGAGCTGCCCCACAATGTACACAAGTACTCTAGTTCTGAGTGTGTGCTTCAAGCACATGTTCTGGCCATTAGTAGGATAGCAGGATCCTTTTCATCTAACCTTTTTTTTTCCAGTGGGCTCTGGCCCATTGTGTGCAAGAGAAACAAAGGTATTGTGTGTGGGATTACAATGTGGCTGGTTTCACTCCTCTTTTGTGGGCAGTCTTGATCATCTGTCCAAACCAGAGCTTCGCTGGAGCATCACTAGGAGCTGTGTTTGAGAACTGCTCTTTTTTTCTTTTCTTTGTGGTTTTTTGGGGTTTTTTTTCTTTGTTTATTTTGGGGGGAGGCGGTTTGTGGTGGGTTTTCATATTTTTTTGGTTGGTTGGGGTTTTTATGTTGTTTTTTGGGGGTTTGGGTTGTTGGTGTTGTCTTGTTTTTTTTTTTTTTTCTTGAGAACTTTGCACATGTTCAGAATTTTCCTACTGGTTGAATTTAAAATGAACCCACATCAGACCATGTAGTCAGTGTGTCAATTTACTTTTCCCTACAAGAGAACATTGTACATTACAGGAATGGAATTTTCTGGTGAAAGGCCATTACAGGAATTGTGAAGGTGTTTCTGAGAATTGTTACAGTGGGGAAAAGTGGAACTGATGTGAAAAGGGCTTTCTCTTCCCTCCATTTGGAAATTCACATCTCCAGTGCAGATGTTTGTCTAACAGCTCCTCTGGGACATATTGTGCTGGGTTAAGGGTACTGCTGTTACCAACTCTAGAAATAAATGCTAAAAAATGTGAAGCCTAAGTATGCACTTTAGGATGCTCTTATTTTTAAGACTTCTTAAGAAGGACACAAATTACCAGCTTAAAGTCATCTTCATTTTCTTGTATATTGGCATCATCTTAAAGCAAGCTCAAACTCTACTGCATGGTCCCAGTGTGGGCTCTGGCAGAGGAGCTGATGTATTTCCTTTCCAGTGCAAAGCTTGAGTTTCCAGATCCTGAAGAGTTCAGCCAAGCACTTCCAGCAACACACCCACCTGGAAAAAATGCCAGTGATCTTTTGGAAGTGAAAGGACCCTGACACACTGATCACATTTCTAAGTGATCAGAGGGATGGAGCCACCTCACAGGATCCTTCCCTCATGAAGAGTAATATTTTAATCTGTATTTCACCAAGTGTTGCAAATTGTACTCAGGTTCATTCTCATGCTCTGTGACTGCAAAACAGAGCTATACAGTAATATTAACCTTATTTACTGCAGGACAGCACAGTCCATCATCACTGACCTTTTGCTTGGCTTGGAACCTCAATAAGCAGGGAAGTAATTACTTAGGAAATCAGTTTTCCTGGATAACATGCCCTGCTCGCCTCACATTGTTTTAAAAGTGCAGATGTTTTATACCTGTTTCACTCAGCCCTGAGAAAGTTTATTGATAAAGGAAAATTAATCATCCAAAGCTTTCACTCCTGAAAGGTTTTGTGCACTTCATGACTCACAATTTATATGTGAAATCATTGTAGTAATTTTCCCATGGATTGCTCCAGTACTTCAGTATCTTCTGTTCGGGAGACAATGATCACATAACAGATAAGACTGAACTAAGAGGTTAAACCTCAGCAATAAAGGGCCTGATTTACCATGGACTGCCCACAGATTTATGTTCAGGCTCTTGCTGGTGCCATGCTGGCACTGAGTTGGGCTGACACAGGAGTGAACAAACTCAATCCAAAATCAAAAACTCAAATCCAAACTCAAGCACTGAGCAGTGTTAAAATCTGATGCACATAAGTAGCTGGCTCCCAACAGCAGAGACATCCACATGGAACCATGAACACTTCCATGACTCCCTGGGCACAAGTTCTCTGAAGGCAGGGATTTTGGAGAGCAGAGCATCCCCTTTATGGTCACACTGCAGCGTGTGCTGAGGGCCCTCTGAAGCTCTGGCACCTGGATGGATTTGCTAAAGCATTTGGCTGTTGTGTTGTTCCTGCCAGTGGAAATACAACGTGATTTTGTGGCTTTTAAGTGATATGCCAGCGTAATTGTGGTAGTGGAAAGAGTGACTGTGTGAGTGTTATTGATGAAAACAATCAGGAAGTCTGTCCTTAGGACTGAGATTTGAAAGTGGTCATGGTGGGAACTTACTAGCTGTGGAAAATTTAAAGTGTGTTTTCAAAAGGAAGGCAAAGTTGGGCTGGTGAGAAAACTTTTTAAAAAATCTCAGATGTGACTTGGCTTGGCACAGGTTTTGGTTTTGTAACCAGCTTTCCAAATCACATATTGCAACCATGATTCCAATTTCAGTCCATTTTGCAAGACATAAACTGTGCACTTTGATGGTGTTTGAATCCATGTGTCTGCCCAGTGCATTCAAAAGATTTCAAAGCTGCTCATCAGCATGAAAACTGCAATTCCTTTTAGTCCTTGCTACCACTGTCCCTCTTCAGGCTTTGTTTGCCACTGTTTTCAGCAAGCAGTGGGTTTAGTTTGTGCCTCTCTGTGTGTTTTGTGAAAGAAAAGTCTGGTAACAAATAACCCTGTGACTGGTTTTGTGGTTGATGTAGCTGAATACTTTCTGCCAGATCTCCAGAGGGATTAAAGATTTTCAGCATTAAAGAACATGTGTACCCTGGTATCAGTGAGGATCACAGCCCTGGCATTTCTCCTGTTAGCACTGTATGAATAAATATCATCAATGTGCAGAATTGGGTGAGGCATTTGGAAAGCAGGGTCCAATTCCTGTTTTCTTCTGGGACTACACAAGAGATGTGCTTCTGTCCTAAGAATTTTTCTATTTTAAGCCTGATCCTCTAATTTCTTGAACACTGACAGTGATTCTACTCAGCCTTGCTGGGAAAGAGCAGCAACTGTCCCTCACACCAGTGGCTCATTCATGGGAAGTCATGTCAAGTGTGCACCGTAAAATGTCACATCAGGTGTTGTGAGCTAAGTGACAAAGGGGACTTGGCTTTGAAGTGCTAACAAAGGTAAAGAAATAGCAAGAACAAGGTGTCAGATTTTGTGAAGATTTCTGATGCACTTTAAAGTCGGTTCTTTCTTCCCCCCCACATTAATACTCTGAACTTCAGAACAATTGATGTTCCCCAAGCTGGCTTCTGCAGGCAATCCATTTCCCATGTTTGACATTTGAGATGGAAGGCATCTGTAAGGTGAAGATTTAAATGAGGATTGTTATTTTGACACGCTGTGTCCATTGCGTCATTTTCCATTCGTGTTCCTGCAAGCGCGCTGCCCAAAAATGTCCTTGTCATCTGGCACCACACTGTGCAACAAAGGGTCTGTTTCACAGGGCTTCTCAGGAATTTGACTATGCATTGGAACAAGCTGGGTTTTTTAATACATGCTGGGGTTTTTTTTCCCTGGGTTTTGGAGCAGCCAGGAAGGTTTCTGCTATTCTGAACTCTGGCTCTGACTTGTCTTCCCTCACCTGCTGTGATTATGATGGACTGCTCTGCATTTGATTTCTTGATCAGCAGCCACTAACATGAGAGTCATTAGTCAGCCTCACCCAGCCAAGCACTGCACAGCTTTCCATTTTATCTTCCTCCAGCAGCAGTGGTGCATTTCATTGTTGCATATGTTCTCACTTACTGCTTTAATATGCCATAGCTTGCTACCAGTAGGGATGTGCATGTACATGCACTGCATCAGCTGCTCCAGAGAGTGCCAGTGCCTTGCTCATGGACATAAATTAGAGTTTGATGTGCCCCCAGTGAAGTGTTTTGTGCTGCTGCTTCTATCTGAGACTGTGTGTGCCCATCTCATGTGCAGTAACAATAATGATGAAGCCAGTCTGAGCCCTCACTGCTCTGGGAAGAAATCCACCTGAGCTCAGGAGGTAAAGTCTTTCATGATAAACCATGCTGCCATGTAATAATAAAACTGGGGAGTGTTTATTGACTGCTCACAGCCATCTTTTCAGTTTCTGGTTCACAGGAGCCTGTAACAAAGCAGTTTTGCTTTTATTTGTCCAGGTTCTGATGGGTGTCCTGCCTCTTCCAAAAAAATTTACTTCCACGGGGCATCAGAGAGTTATTCTGCATCCCTATTTGCTCTGCCTTTCTAGATGAGCATTAGCTAGTCATTTTTTCTTTTTTTTTCCCTGTATCTCCTGAGCAGCAAATCTGTCCTTGAGTTCTATTCTCAGGGCCTGGTGTGACTCTTTCTTGCAGAAAGACATGAGCTGTAAGAAAAATAGAAATACTTCTGCAGGTACCCTGCAGGTTTCCCCACTTACATGTCAGACCAAGGCTGAGGTGCTGCTTAAGAACCTGAATCAAAGAAACATCCTGCTGGGAGAGGTGGAACACTCAGAGATTGAATGTGTCATTTGAAACTCCTTGTCTCTCTCATTATACCTGTATATATACATTTATGCTTATATATTTATTTATGGTTCTATTTGCGTTTGAATTTATGGGTTTATTATGAGTGTTTGTCAGTTTTCCTGGAAATTACAGTTGGCTGCTCAGGAAACTGTTTCAAATGTGACCTGACTGCATTGTGCACATATGTACGTATAAATATATATAAAAATAAATATATATAAATATGTGCTGGCCCTAAGGTAGGAGAGAAGGATGCATAAGGCAGAGGCAGACTGACTGTACCATGTGCAGTTTGGCCCCCATCCCTTTCTCCTTCACTGGTTCTCGGTGAAGAAGAAAGGCATCTCCCCGGGCATCTCCCTTCAGTCAGGGGAAGGAGGGGGATGCACCTGGCTGGAGAAATGGGTGTCAGCACCTGCTGGAATTTTACCCACAGAGCTCCTGGGGCTCTCGCTGACACAAACCAGTCCTGACTCCGACCTGCAGTAAATGCAAATGCTTTTCTTCCCTGGCCAGCGTGCCCCATCCCATGGCAGGCACTGCCCTCCCACACAGGGCAGGGAGGGAGAGTTCACCACCAAAAACCTCTCTGTGCCTCTTCCCTTCCCCAGGGCATTCCCAGAGAAATGTTTCCCTCACGTCTCCCCTGCTACAGCAGTGCTGTCAGGTAATTCCCACAGCCTGACTGTGCTGTATCTTTCTCCAGTGCAGAATCAATACAACTCTAGGCTGCATTTTAAGCTTTTAGCTGCAAAACCCACTTTGCTGTGTTTCCCACATTATCCTTTGAGTGCTCCTGTTGATCATAATTAATCCTTATAACATCCTCCACTGTGTCAAGGAATATTCCACAGATCAATTAAGTTTCACAACACCTTTGAGGTGTTGGTAAAAAACAGTACACTTCTAATTGCTGCTTTCTCCTTCTGGAAGTGTCTCTGTTTTACTAGAGAGTGCATGATTGAGGGAAAAGGTTGTTTTTATACAAAGCAGGTTCATATCTTGTGCTCTGAAGCTGTGAAGTGCTGGGGGCACTCAGATTCTCATGTGAGCAGGGGGCAAGAGGTGCCAACACAGCTGCTTTTGCTCATGTGCCCATTTCCAGCTTTCTGCTGCACTGCACTAAAAGTGGTGGATGGACTGGAGTATTTCAGGTACTGGAAAAACCCAGTTCTAATGGCAAGTGAGGACCTGGAGCTTAATTCAAGCACAGTTTTTGAGAAGTGTTTGTGATATGTCAGTGTGACACCGTAGTCCAATATAAATTTATAAAAGCTGGATGTGGTTCTTTCTGTCATTGCTCTGCTGTTGTTGCTCACTCCTGAAAACATTTTTTTTCTGAAAAAGCTGTGAAAGTGAAGTCTATATTTGAATATATATAATGAGAAGGAATAAACCCTAGAAGGGACAGAGGGAGTTACAAAGACTCAGTAGCATTTGTTTGTGAGTGATGATTATGCAGTTGCATCTAAAATGTATTTCCCATTATTGTTCTATTAACAACTGAGGGTTTTAATGGACAGAGCCTAGAGCTGCAGCAATCCATTCCCCAGAGGGAGAGATTCCAGCACCTGAGAGCAGTTTGCAAAGCCTAGCACTGCCATTCCTCATGGGAGCATCCTGCTGCTGTAAGGAGCTGCCTCCAGAGCATTTCTGTGGGGGAGACAGGGCTGGAAAAAGAATTAGTCTAAGCCCAAACTAGCATCTCAGTTTTGCAAAGCAGTGATGCCTTGATCCAGTGAAGTTTGTGTTTAGTTTTGAATATATGAAAAGGAAAATGAAGAAAGTGGTGTGTTTTTCTCTCGCTCACCTCCTTCCCTCTTTTATCACGGGTAAAACTTTTTAAAATATACCTGAAATATTCCCTCCAAGGCTTATTTCATTGCAAAGGTACTGAATTTCCTTACCTTGGTTGTGTCTTTCTTTCATTTAATTCAAGACCAAATTTATTCCTTGTTAGCCTAAGATATGCTTTTCAGTGGTACAAGATGTGAAATCAAGATGCATGTAGGATATGTCTCATCCTGGGTACAGGAGAGCTCTTAGCTTTTTTAGGCAAATCTGTTTCCAGGCTTGGCTCTGGGAAATATAATCAGGAAGATGCATTTCATCAAATAACTTGAATTTACAAATGCAAAGATCCTGGTGTATAAATATATGCATCAGAGGATGGAAATGCCTAGCCAGGAGAATCCTGTGTGGTTTTTTTAGAGCTTTGAGACCTCTTCTAGCTAGAGAATGATTCAACAGAAAGTCTTCAGAAATTACAGCACAAACAGAGAAGTACTGGAATTTCTTGCATACATGAAGTGCCATGAGATTCATGCTAATGGGTAAATTTAGAATGTAAGCTTGAAAACAAAGAACTGTTTAATCTGTGCACATTTGTTATGAGCTGGGGTCTGTAAGAGCTAATCAATGGCTTCATTTTCTGCTTTGATCTCTCTGTGCAGGACACCAGCCATGATTGGATGCTCCTTTGTGGTGGACAGAGAGTATTTTGGTGAGATTGGCCTGCTGGACCCTGGCATGGAGGTCTATGGAGGAGAAAACATCGAGTTGGGCATGAGGGTGAGTAACACAGAGACTTTGTGCATGTGCAAAGGGGAACTTGTGGCCCAGCAGAGCTGCTGTCTGACTGATCTGCTGTTGTGCTGGAGAAGTTGATGATCTGGTAGTGACAGTGCCAGTAAATGAATGTTCCTGGCCTTGTGAGCCTTGAGAGAACTGAATATGCTTTATTGGCTCACCCTGTCAGTGTCTGAGCCCAGTGAGAAAGGTTTTCCCCTTTCCCAGTCTCTTTCCTGATGCAAACAGCCTCTCTGAGTCTCCATGTGCTCATTGCCCTGAGCTGAGGTTGTACATTTGTACATTTGTGCTCTGACAGATGCAACACCTACAGAAAACTAAGGCCAGGCTGGTAGAAGTCACTGTTAATGTTCATCATGCACACATTATGAATGCTGGGATATTTTACAACTCTAAGGAACCTCCTTACAGAATAAGATTACAGGGTGCAGGTATTCAATCCTGTTGGACAGGTCATGGTGAACAGATGAATTTGGAATATCAGTGAACCTAAAGGAGGTTTGATACCTGTGATCCCTTGACCTTGGTTTCAAGGTGATGCTTGCCAGCAAGTCCTCCTGAAGCCCAAGGAAAATGGCTTTGCTTAGCATCTGAAAATTAGGCCACTTAATGTTGCATGAACAGAGTTTCCTCATTATAAAGCTGACTGTTTAATTATTTTCCCTTTACTCTTTATCTCCTGCTCCCCAGTAACATGTCCCTGGTGCATGTAATGTGCTCATTAAAGCATATATTCTGCTTGTGGTGAAACATTGAACATAAAATTAGTCCGTTCTTTATATCTGGCTCTTCTTTTTTCTGAAATGGCTACAGACTCCTTCTCACCATTGGACTGAGGAGGGTCACTGCAGCAGGAGTTTATTTGCACGTGTGGGTGTGTATTTGTTATTCCAGCATTGCAAGAGGGATGGGTTTGTAATGGGACTGTGTGAATACACTGCTTATACTTTAAGGTTCAGAATTCACATAGGGGACAGAAAAACTGCTACCACAAATCATCCAATTTTCCTTAAGAGGGTCAGGCTATTACCAGGATTGTGTGAGCTTTCCTTTATCATTGTGCAGGGCTTTGAGCTGTTTGAAGCTTTTTCCACATGGCTGCTCCCAGAATAGATTGAACACTCTGGCAAAACCCTGGCGTGGTTGATGAATAAGGCTCCCAAGAAATCTGAAAGCTGTCGCTCTTCCTTAGGCCAGGAGGACTTGCTGAGTACGATTAGAGCTCCTGGTAAACAGAGGCAAAGGTTTTAATAGGATTATGAAATGGCACTTGCTTGAAGAGACAAGGATTTGAGATGAGTGAGGATGGGTTTTCAGGGATAGGGAACCTCTTAAAGCCTGCAGAAAGCTTGGATCTAGGAAACAGCTCTTTTTCTTTGGGTTTTATTTTGGTTGGGGGCTTTTTTTGCCCTATAAGAAAAGCTAACCCCGCTGTTTGGAAAAGGTTTTATGAAAATACAAGAGTATGAGTTTGTTGTGGATAAGCTGTGTGTCCATAGCACAGGCCTGTTACTCTGTGTTTCCAGCCTGGCAAGGAATATACAGTGTCTGCCTCCTAATTTGCAAATCCTATGTGTGATCCCCTCCTGTGAGTCTTTCAGAGCTGTCAGAAACTAGCAGTGTGAAAATGCACAGGAACCTTCTCCCTTCTCTCTAGGCTATTTATAAAACCACTGTGAATTTACCAAGTTGGGTTTTTTTTTAACTCCAGAACCTTCAAGTAAATTGCAAAAAATTCACTTCTTTCCTAAGGCCTGGTGCAATGACCCATGCAGGGATATTTGGTGCCTGCCCCCCACCTGCACAGAGGGGTGCTGCTGACCATGTGTGAAGCAATGAAAGATAGAAAAAGGAAGGAATACATGAATGAATAAATAAAAACCAAAAATTAATATAATAATAAATAATAAGATGTAGGGAAGGTGGTGGCCCATGCTTGGCTGAAAACAGTCCCTATTTGATACAGCTGTGACAATAATCCTTTTCTACTTTTTTGAAAACTATTATCATGTAACTGCTAAGAGAAAAGGGATTAGGCTTGGAGTGTCTGAAATAGATTACATTGCATCTAGTGAACCCTTGTTTAAATTGTTTTAATAAACTGAAATAGGGAAACTCAGTGAAACTAATGAGATGATTTGGGAGGATACTGTTTGATAACCCAGCTAATTCCCATGAAATCTATTGTTTATTAAAAAATCATGACCTTGAGTATTCTACTGTTGGCTTTGCCCTTTTCTAAATTCCATAGATGGAAATATTTAAATAATTAACCTAAGAGATTTTCTGTACTGAGTATGAACAAGCAGTGCAGCAACAGACTGGGGTTGCCTGCTATGCCTATTGAAAGTATTTAGGGGTCTGCAGCTCTTTTCTAAACTCCTATTATTTTTTGAGTAAATAATGGTGGTTAGAGCTGCCACATTCTCCTGATGGGGTGACTTCACACTGAAGCCAATGTCTGTTTGCCAAGAGAGGGAGGGTCTGGTTTGGTTGAGAAAAAGCACCAGCTGTTCTGGGAAATAAAAGGGAAATGGACACATTTGCAGGTCTGTGAAGTAAGGAAATGGATGGACACTTACATAATGTCACCTTGCTCTGTGTTTTTTAAAGGTGGCAGTTTCACCACAAGGTGGATAAATTGGGGGAATTCTGTTAGGACAAATGGTGCTGTTGTCTCACTGATCTCCAACCAGCTACTGAGGCTGATGGGAGTTATTATTAGCACCTAAACACAGGAAATTACAGCATCCAGTCTTGGCTGACTCCTCTGTGGATGAGCTGCCCTTCATGAGCACAGGCTGAAGAAGACGCTCTAAATTCAGGGTAGATCATTGCTGCTCCTGAACATCAAATGGTCACTGAGTACAGAGAGATGTCCCAATAGGAAGAGAAATTCAAGCAGTGCTTGAATGTGGAGGCAGACAGGGGTCCCTTTAAGTGAGGGTCCCAAATTATGACCCTGTAAGAAGCTGCATGCTGTGCAAGCATCATGTGAGTTCCATTCCTACTGGGAGCTACAGACACACTTAATTATTTAGAAAGGGATCATATAAACATTAAAAGCCTAGTTTATGATTTAACCTAATACGAGCAGTTTATGATGCATCTTTTTATAGTGAGTCATTAATCATTGCACTAAGGATCCCTCTCTTCCTCTGGTGCTCCAGTGATAAGGTGAATGAATTGCTGTTCTTTTCACTTTGTGCCCATCAGCTGTAATGGTGGATGGAAAGAGATCAAGCATTTATTTTAAAGGATGCTGCAGCAGAAATTAAGTTCTGCTTCCACCATTAAGAATCCAAACAAATTACATTTTAAAAAATCTGTTGCCACGTTGATAGCTGCAAGTAAAACTCCTTTTCTTTTATGTTCAGCATCAGGGTGCTTTATTCTCAGCAGCACTGAGTCACTCCAGCAGGTGAGTCCCAGGTACCTTTGGCCACTTTTGTGGCGCTGTCAGTGGAACATCTCTGGGAGCACAGAGCTCCTCAGGACTGAAAAGAGCTGACCCCAGCCAGGATCCAGCCCATACCCTCTGTGCTCTCTGCTGCTGTGATTTAGTTGGTGATGGAGTCCGGGCTGAAACCATGGGTTGTGTCAAGAGAAATGCAGCCCCATTTCTGCCTTACACAAGTACTGTAAAAATATCCTGATGTAGATGCACCAAAATCTCTTGATGAGGAAATGAAGCTCGTTACCTAATGGGCTTCCATACACAAGCACATCATTATACTTTCCCAACTTCTATTATATGCCCTGCCTTTACTTTCTTTAAAAATAGATGAACTACATTTTTTTCTGAGCAGAAATGCTAATGGTAGATTGTTGAGTAGTGAATTTTTGACCTCATTTTATTACCTTTAGCTAAAGAGATTTAGATTCCTCTGAGCAGTCAGTGTTTTAAATGCAGATTCCAGACTGGTGTGCTGTAATAAAAATGTCACAAGGTTTATGTATAGCAAACTTTAATTCTGAATTCTGGACAATGCTTTTTGCCCTGTGTGATTCATGAGGCCAGGTCCCTAGTCTTAGAGCTAAATAGAAACTCAGTTCTGGTGAGTTACTCAAAATTTCAGCATTTTTTCACATGTGCTGTGGTAAAATACAAGTGAAAATTGCACAAAAAATAGAGGTTAATCAAAGTGTCTTATTATGGTGAATCTGAAAATACTTCATTTTTATTTGGACCAAGCTATAATTTTTAGTACAGATTAATTCAGTTTTGACTTAAAAGTCTTAAAGCCTTTTAGTTCAGAGACATTTAATCACTTGAACTGTGTTAACAAAACCCCACAGTTGCTGACATCTGAAAAAGCGGCGTGCTCTGTCCTTAGACATGCCTATTCACACTGGAGTGCAATAAATCAGCATTTTCAGCATGAAGTTAAATGCTATTAAAACGTTTCTGAGCAGTTCTACACTGCCTAAGCAAAATCCTGCTAAGTGATGTAATCTGCTGTTATTGGAAGTTGCCCCAGTGCTGAGGCTGCAGAGATCTCAGTGATAAATCTCCCAGCTCTCACCCTCCAGATAAAGTGTGTGAGTAAAGGTGTCCCCTTTCCCCATCTCCAGTTTAATTTAACACTTTCAGAGGTATTTCCTGAGGTAAAGGAGTGCTAAGCTTGTGGAGCCAAGCATGAAGAAGTCATGAAAGGATTGAAGTCGTGGTGCCTGCATTCCATGAATTCCCAGCTCTGTCCCCTCTTCAGAGCAGGAGCTGGAGCAGCTGGATCTGTGCTGATGTGCAGAAGGGATGAGCCGGGCCCTCAGCACATCCCAGCTTCAGCATCTCCTGATTCCACTGCAGCTGCAGAGATTCAGGCAGGGTGGGATCAGGCTTGGCGTTTGTGTCCAGCAGTCACACATTCTGTATGGAAATGGGGACATTTGTGGCAAGGCAAGGAGCCCCTGCAGGTGTTAAACCCCAGCCCTGGAGTGTCCAAAACCACTCAGAGTCACCAAAAACCACCCAGAGGCAC